AACAGATTAGACTTACTTTTTCTGTAGAATACCATAGAAAAATATTTTAAAAGGGTTTAAAAGTAAAGGCAGATCGAGAATCCAACCTATGTAATAATTTAATGCCATGTAATGAACATCAAGTGGCTTACAAAGATAACCTCCCAGTCATAAATATGCCGCCTTTTAAATTGCTGACTGACTCATGTTCTTCTAAAGCAAATGTTTATATTTACAAACAGTAATCTGCTGATTAAGCGTAATTTGACTTATATTATTCACACAAGAAAACGTGATTCTGTTAACCTGTGTAGAGAAAGACTTCTGTAACTACCAGGATTGACGTGACAAAAAAGGGAAGGGTGTACAGCTATTTGATCATATTTCAGGAAGGAATTGTTCCCGTATCTTCATATTGCTCTCCGAGTTGTGGTGCCTTTTTTTTCACCTTACATGATTTTTACAGAAAGATGTTATTAATATTGTAAAAAGACATAGATTTCATTGTACACCTGAAAAATCTACATCACTGTATATTGTTATTATATTATTTATATTGTTATTTATATGAATTTGTAAGATAGACAAATCTAAATAAGTAGTCTGGAGTTTATTGACCTTCTTTTATAATCCTTTATGCACTGTTGCTGTTTGTTAAATGGATTTCACTGCCTAAATATGTATTTCTCCTAAATATGCACCAGTATATCTGCCCAACATCACTATTGACCAGCATCAGCCTTGTATGTGTATTAAAAATATAACAGACTTTATTTTTACAGTGCTCTGTGAGGTTTTTACATGTTTTTTAATTGTTTATTTGAACATCATTTTTTAAGTGTTACTTTTGAAGCAAATTTTGTACTTTGAGGTGAGTTGTTGATGCCAGAGGTTAAAGGAGAAGCTCAAGATAACCTGCCAAAGTTTACAATGAGTATCAGAATAGAAAGAAAAGATGATTTGAGTGGTTTTAAATATGGCATGGTTGTTGGTACTAGACAGAGTGGTCTGAGTATTTCAGAAACTTGTGTTTTACTGTAATTTCCTGCACAAAATCTTTGGTTTACAGGGAATGAGCTGATCTGGAGCTATTTGTTCTCCAAAAAATAGAAAATATTCAGTGACCACCTTTTTTTCTGTGTTATAATTTCCTTGTTGACAACACTGCAGCAAATCTCTGAGGAATGTGTCCAGCTCTTTGTTGAATCTATTGACGTATTGGCTTCCCTTCATTGGCTTCCTGTTAAATCCAGAATTGAATTCAAAATCCTGCTCCTCACATACAAGGTCTTAAATAATCAGGCCCCATCATATCTTAATGACCTTGTAATACCATATCACCCTATTAAAGCACTTCGCTCTCGCTCTGCAGGCCTACTTGTTGTTCCTAGAGTATTTAAAAGTAGAATGGGAGGCAGAGCCTTCAGTTTTCAGGCCCCTCTTCTGTGGAACCAGCTTCCAGTTTGGATTCAGGAGACAGACACTAGCTCTGCTTTTAAGATTAGGCTTCAAACTTTCCTTTTTGCTAAAGCATATAGTTAGGGCTGGACCAGGTGACCCTGAATCCTCCCTTAGTTATTCTGCAATAGACGTAGGCTGCTGGGGGATTCCCATGATGCATTGAGTTTTTCCTTTCCAGTCACCTTTCTCACTCACTATGTGTTAATAGACGTCTGTTATTAATCTCTGTCTCTCTTCCACAGCATGTCTTATCCTGTCTTCCTTCTCTCACCCCAACTTGTCGCAGCAGATGGCCCCGCCCCTCCCTGAGCCTGGTTCTGTCGGAGGTTTCTTCCTGTTAAAAGGAAGTTTTTCCTTCCCACTGTCACCAAAGTGCTTTTTCATAAGGGGTCATTTGATTGTTGGGGTTTTCTCTGTATGTATTATGGTACATGGCCTGTATTTGTATAGCGCTTTACTAGTCCCTAAGGACCCCAAAGCACTTTACACATCCAGTCATCCACCTATTCACACACACATTCACACACTGGTGATGGCAAGCTACATTATTGTAGGGTCTACCTTACAATACAAAGCGCCTTGAGGCGACTGTTGTTGTGATTTGGCGCTGTATAAATGAAATTGAATTGAATTTAATCTATGCTACAAAGGTATCAAGTACCAGATTTTTTTTCTAAACATGAAGTATATTTTCAAAAAAGAATCAGGAGAATCAAGATTTTTTAAAGTGTTGTTTCCCACATGTTAAACGTCAGTAGAGTGCTCACTTTAACATTTTCTCATAATGGAAAGTCTTTAGTTTGGTTTACATGAGGATGCCTGTGTAGAATAAACAGGAGTCAGGAAGCATGATGTACACTGACTCATTGTTAATTATTGCACAATTGCCTACTCTGTTTTTACAAGGGTGCAAATGGACATCATACTGATTTTGCAATGAGGATCTGGCAGGGTAAAGACTCCACACACGGATACACACCATGTCGAAACAGAAATTAGCCTGTTTTCTCTAAATAAATCAGAATCTACAACCTGAAATCGAAAGACCTGCTGGAGCAGCAGATAGGTTTTAGTTTCAGCTCAACAGCTGTAAGGCTGATTTAGTCTTTGCTGTGGCTTTCAAAACAGGAAATTCAGTTTTTCACCTCACTATTTCAAAGTAGCTGACACATAGCTACGTCAAAGGATGTTGTGGTTTTTTTAATCCTGCCGCAAGAACATAAAAAGTCAGTAGAGATCAATGAAATAGCTGAATTTATGATTTTATTGTTTGTCTTTGCTATTGCTGACACCTACTCCATACAGCACAGATGCTATAAAACAAAGAAGGACATGCAAATACTTTCACAGCGCTTTGTAATCATATAAAGGAGCTAAAGCTGATGGAGATGGGCAGTTTGATCCTGTAGTTTTAAGATCAGTTCTGCATCTAAAAACCTGATATAATCAGCTCACAAGGACAGACTCTTAAGGTTGTTACTTAATGGGTGGGTCATACCAATCATACCTTCAGGGACCAAAAAAGAGGGAAACTGTCTCCTCTAGCATACAAGGAGGCCTCATTGTGATTTAAATAAATGACTGAGGGCCATGGTGTTTTCCCCCTCTTCTGCTTATCCTCTTCACACTAAGCCAAAACACCAATTACACCTGCTGACCTCTTTTTCATGGAAAGGTTTGACAAAAATTCCCAGTAACATTAGAAGTGTTATGTAATGCAGCCCTTCCTCCTGGATCAGCAACGTTGTGCTGCACAGGAGAAAGAGGGCCTATAAACACTGTGTTTGCACATGTAAGGGTATTTAACAAACAAGAACAGGAAAGTTGACCAGATATCTTTAAAAAGTACCCTAACCTTTGCTCATACATACTACACCAAGATAACCGTAACTGAATAAACCATGATTCGACTAAAGAAAAACTAGAAGAGAAAAACAGGCTGATGAGTTGAAGTAAGATGATAAAGTGATTCAAAAGATGACACGTCTTCTAAAAATGATCTGTCTTAGTAATCGTCTATAGAATTCTGAACTTTGTGTGTCTATAACAGTTATTTTCAGTGCTGATTACAGGTCTTATAATCTGATTCATCTCAGCTTTTCTTTTTCATCTTCAGGTAGAGTAACATCAACAACCAAATTATACTATGAGAAAGTAATTTCCAAAGCGAGAAAATACACCGGTCACAAAAACTACACTGTGAAAGGTAAACATTTTTCATTGATTTTGTTCAGATTTATAGTCAGAGTTTAAGTTTTAAGCAATCCAAGGTTTTACAGACATGATATAAAGCCAAGAAGTTGCCATAAATTGCCTCAACTGTTTGTTAAATTTCAGCAGGCGACCATATGCCGCATGGCTGAGAGCAGCTGGCCTGGGTTCGAGTCAGACCTGCGGGCCTCTGCTGCCTGTCTTCCCCTCTCTTTCCTGTATCCATCTAAAAAAGCTGAAAAAAGGCCAAAAAATTTTTTTTTTTTTTTAAAAAGCACAAGTTTATGCTTCTTCAATCTTACATCTTGCCTTCTTTTCTTCTTGATTATGTGTAAACCTAATGGAGGAAAACCTGTGTAAAGTTTCATGTAGAAATCATAAAAGCTAGGTATGGATGAGTTAGATTTCTCATGTTGACTCCCATCAGCTCTGCAAATGTGACTCATGCCTCATCTGCAAAAAGTCTATTAAACTAGTATATAGATAACGTGATTAAAGACTGAAAGTTTAATTTGGTCCCCAGCACAGCGGGTGGAGAATAAGACAAAATGTGAGTATTAGAATCCTGCAAAAAATAGAAATTTCATAAAATGGCACAATACAGAGACAAGATGCGATGCAAAAAGTTTTTTAATGCGGCAATTACACTACAGAGCAGTCAAAAATAAGAAGAAGACGTTTTTTTTTTTAAACAAGCATACATACGACTCCAAAGCAGAACAGATAAATAATTTATATTTAAATGATCGGTTCCATTTCCCCCTTAAAATTTTTCTTTTTTTACAGAAATAATGGATTCACCTACCAGTGAACTATTAAATCATATGCAAAATTAGGTCATGCTAATATAAACTATTTAGAACTCCATCTATCACAGATGGATACAGACCGGCTGTAATAAAAGGAGACTGAATATTATCCTGTTCAGATGTTCTGTTAATGAGAAATAGGGTGCTTCTGTAATTTATTAGGCTACACATTAACTCTTACATGTGTATATACATTATGGAAATACATCTGTATTATTGGGTAGAGGGATTGATTCAGACACTGATAAGCTGGGGGAATAGTTCATTAGCAAACATGTCATCCCAGGCACTCTCTGCACACAGGGGGGACGACATGTCGCTGAAAGGGGAAGGGGAACCTTCATATCCGGAGTCGCTGTAGGTGTCCGCCAGGCAGGCTTCTTTCTCCAGACTGTTGAGGGCAGGAGAGGAGGGTCCAGAGAAAAGCTCAACTGCCTGACTCTGACTATTACATGCAGGGATGACCACTTCCTGTGGTTCATCTTTGACGCAGATGGTCTCCTCCTCCACCATGACCTCAGTAACGGGGAAGGCTACCTCGTCATTCTTCTCATTTGTGCCGCTCTCCAAGTCGGTGTGCTGCCCACTACTCACTTCCTCCACGGGCTTTGTATAGATGTGGTCAAAGTGAATCAGTTCATTAAGGGTCTCCAGCTTAACTGATGTGGGCCCCACAGTTGGAGATGGGGTGGTAGGTACTGGCTCACCCCCTCCGAGCAACAGGACCTGCGGCTCCTGGCAGTCTGGTTCACAAGACTTGAGAAATAACTCTGGGTCAAGGATGTCCAGAATGCCCAGCAGCAAATCAGACTAGGGAGAGAAAGAAAGGGGGTATAAGTATTCGTTCTGAATTGTTGTGGAGCTTTGGTGGAAATCTTAAGACCCACACTTTAGCAGGGACTCACCTCATTGTCTGAAGAGTCAGGACTATCTGTATCCATTGGGAAGTCTTCAGATTTAGGGACTGCTGGGCCTGCACCTGCTGCGGAGGCACACATAGCCTGAGTGCTGCGGACTCAGAAGACCCGATCCCCAAATCTGCATCGTTCCCGGTGGACAACATAACCTGAACCTTTGAGGGAAAAAAAGATTTAAAAAGAATTAATACAATTTTCCAATCCCTGCAATCCAGCCCACACCACTTCCCCTCTCAGCTCTCCATTCTTTTTTTACCTTCTCTTTCGAGTCAAGAGTGTCCAATCCAAGTCTTTGTCTCAGTTCCTCATTTTCTGTGAGCAGGCCATTTGTTTTTTCCCGGAGTAGCCTGTTTTCAATGTGAAGTTTCTGATTCTGCAGGAGGAAACAGATGTCTGTGAATGAAACCTGCAACAGTTTCAGGAACTAAAGTGTGAAGTATCACATGAAATGGCACAAACGGTTAAAAAAAAAATTGCTTTGCATTTCTTCATACTAAGACATGCAATTACAAATTAATGCTATGGCTATAATGTGTAACAGTGTATACCTCCAGCTCCAACTCTAGGACTTGTTGCTCCAGCTCCCCCATTTTTGCCTTTTTTCTGTCTCTGGCTGTCTGAGCTGCCACTCTGTTCTTGAGTTTCCTGGAAAAAAAAGGAAGGAGTGGGGGGAAAATTAGTTTCCACGATGCTGACTAAGCCCTCTGACATGACTTTGAGTTCACAGTACTGCGCAATCACCGGCCATGTTCCTGCCACGCAGGCAAAGCATGATATCAATGTCCTGCTCTGTAACAGCAGAGCCGGGCGGGTCCACCAACATTTAAATCCCTCACATACTTTTGACCAGCTAGCTTAAAGTGCAGCGCAGATACGATAACGTTTATGATATTTAACAGCTTCACATGACAGTTGTTATAGTGCGGAGATAACCTATTTACACCGCTATAGTCACACAGCATTTGAGCTTGCATTTATATTTTCTTGGCATTTGAACTAAACCGTAAACATAGCACCTATTGTCTTGCTAGGGGATCGATATCTTTGGGTGTGTCTCTGTATTAATTTCTTGAACAATGGCCCCATTTACGCTTTAGAAATAAGTAATTACACACAGATATAATTATAGATAAGGGTTTATTTTTGAACAAACCTGCGAAGCGCTTTCTCTTCAGGACTCAAATGTGTGAGTCTCTGTCTTTTTCGCACCGGCGGCCCTGCAGAAGTGTTGGAGTCTGAATCCGACGACACTTGGCTGGCCGTTGACGGTAAAACGACAGAGATGGGCCGGCTGAGGGCCGTCTGTGAGCCGGATTGCTTCCCTGATATGAGAAGGACTTTGTGGGCTCCTCCAGCCCCAGCTGCTACAACCACCATGTTGATGTATCCTGTTGTGTTGCTGTCTGAACTCAGAAATTACCGGGTGTCCGTATTAAAGTCAGTAGAAACCTTTAGGTTTCCCTGCTGACCCGAGCCCCGACAATTCTCAAATGCCTAAAGAAAATGGGCTGTGTCTGCGATCTTTTCTACCATCGTGGTGAAACCCGATAGGCTTTCAGCTGCTCTGACGCAATCAGCTTGAAGCTTGTGATTGGTCGCAATGCTGATGTAAGTTTGCACATAAAGTGTTTCACTCTGTTTGCAAAGTAAAATCGAGTTCCCTGTAATTTCCAGTCAAGCCTTATTGTCACATAAAGTCTAAAATTTTCAGTCCGTTATTTTTGCCTGCTTGCATGGGACTTTTTATCAAGTCCACATTAATATATTTATTAACTAGCCTCACTCGTGGATCTCCAAGGCTTATTTTGGCATAGATGGACCCAGCCTTTTTTCCATTGTGTGTGCAGCATTTACAAGCTTTCTGTTCAGCAAAGTCTAAAAGTTACCAGCTACTATATTAGTCTGAAAGGCAAAATGCCTTTATGCTAACTTCACCTTTTTTTTTTTTTTTTTTACCTCAATTCGTTTCTTTTTTTTTAATTAAACATTTATTTTACCTTCCAGCTATCTGGGTAAATTGTGCTGGATAGAAAAGTTTCCTCATTCTTTTCTTTTCTAAAGGATTCTAATGAAGCAACAGGCTTTACAAGGCCTTCCCTGAAATACATTTCCTTTTTCCTGGACTGGTGGACTGATTAGCTTATTATTTTGTCTGTGAAATAGTTCCTGTCAACAGACATTTGTATATCTTTTCGAAATTAATTTAAACAGTATTTTTTTAGTTATATTTTATTACCTGCATGTGATGTCTTGCAGAATTTAAAACTGAATTAGTCAGGCAACATAAATCTTGATCCAGTGCCAAAAAGCCAACGCTTTTTGAAAACAAAACAAAACAAGAGGTGTTAACGGATGAGGCAGCAGTGAAAGATAATAATTTATAGGACCAGGCGTAGCTTATAACCTGGTAGACTTTGTCTACCTGCGTTCAACCACAGTAAAATTTCTGAGATGGCTTAGTGCCAACAAATACTCATGCACGGTTTCAACTGAAGCTGCCACCCAAAAGTAAACAGGCCACAGTCAGAAAGAGAAAAGACATCAATCGACTTCACAAGTACGCACTCTTCCTCAAACTTCTATTTGTCCTCAAACAGGAATTCACATTTTTGCAGTAACTGGCCACCATTATTGTTTACAGCTTGTAGCCCTTTGCCCCTACAGTTTGTCACCTCAGCAGGAGTAACTGCAACAGCTAGAGCAAACAGTGGCCTGTTTGCGAAGCTTTACAGGTGCTACAGAATCAGCATGTGAGAAAGTGAGAGCCTCGGTTTATGATCAATTGAAGAAAGGAAACAGGATTTAAAAACAGGATGTGCTGTATTTCCAGATATAAACATAATAGGTCAAAGCAAACAGGAAAAAATGTGTGAGCGTTCCTCTAAATTCCCCAAATGTAAGTTTCTTTATGTCAAGAAAGTAGGCAGCAATACAGCAGTTCATATTATACACTAGCCTTTAGCTCAAGAATGAAACTGTTATTTTTGACTTGGGGATGTCCCATCACACTTATATACAAGTGTCGCATTGGCCATCAGTGAAACGACCTTCTATATTTGCAGCATGTAGCTGTCAAGTTAATGCTGGAGGGGAAGGGAGGTTTAATAACTGCTAAGGGAGTTTCCTTACTGTGTGTCGTACTTTACTCTCACTACGTTCTGTTCTCGGTGGATATCTGTCATCAGTAAGTGTAAGAAAATGTCCAGCGTGTCAGTTAACATTCAAATGCCACTTGGAATTGTTCTGCTGAGCATTTTAAATGCAAATGATGCCTTCAGTCTGCAGTATTTCCCTGCATTTCACAGTAGAATGTCCCAGTGAATCCCACCACAGATTTAGACTATACAACAGAGTGTGGTAAGTACCTCATGAAAATCCTCTTAATACATGATTTGCTTACATGGGTGTAACAACACAATGCAAGCATAAACAATTAAGACTCAACAAACACAATTTGAGACGAGGAGATTAAAGAGTCTTAAAATGTGAAGGTCACTGCTGACCAAGTGGATAAAAAGAATGTAAAGTGTACTTCGAGAATGCAGGAAAAGGGGTCTTGAAGAGCATCTTGAATTCTTATGTCATTAAAAAACAACTGCTTTGGTGAAATCTCCCTGTTTTCTTTTTTTATTAGGCCACTGGAATAGCTCTGTACATTGTTTAAAATGGGAAAACTAGGCAGGGTTTGTCTAGTGATTTAATATATAGTTCAGAATTTTGAAGTCTGGACATATTTGTAAAGTGTTATAATTTCCTAAATCCTCATTTTTCCAAGATGTTAGTATTTTGGGGTTCAAGTTACATCACAGAGCCTGAGGAGAGCATCCTGACGGGAAACATCTTAACCTGGTTCAGGAACAGCACCATGCAGGACAGACGAGCTCTACAGAGGGTTGTGCGATCAGCTGAGCGCACCATCCGCTCCGAGCTCCCTGACCTGCACTCAATCTACAGCAGGCGGTGCTGGACCAAGGCCAGGAAGATCGTGAAGGACCTCAGCCATCCCTGTAAAGTTTCAAGAAGGAGTTATGAGCCAAACAAAAGCGCTCTCTGATATGAATAAAAGCGTGATTGTTTGCACCTGGCTTTAATGCGTCGCCACATGAGATTCACTGTTAGAGTAACAATAGTAGGCTCTATACATCAGCACACCATCACATGGAGTCTGCATTTACATTGTACTAGCATAAGAAGGCAGCACCGCTATCAGCAAGGCTATAACATCTGACAAACACATTCTTCCTCTTACAAATAAGAAGTAAATATCCTAAGCAATAAAAGACACCCTCCCTCAGTGCAGTTCATTCACGAGTTTTGGTTCCGCAACTGTCTTATGTCTGTTGTATTGCTCACTAAACAAGCCTTGCATAAATAATGCTTTATTAGACACAATTGACCCCACTATACGTGTGCTGCACTTGCTTTGGGTGTGATTTACTATTAACCCTTCAAGTGCTGATGCCAAACTTGTCAATGCTTAGAAATGGTAGTATTTTCTGATTTTTTTTTATTCTTGTTCACCGATGGTGGAAATATGTCATCTGTTTTTTTTAAAACAGTGTTAACAACATATTTAATGTTAGTTTATATACTGTGTTTATTTGCTCATAAAAAACGTTTTATTTTAGGACTGAGTATTAAAGTTGTATTATAGCCCTGACCTACTTTAGTTTTCTGGGAGAAATTAATCTTCATTGGAAAGAAGACGAATTGTTTGAATCTGCTGCAGAGCACGCAAGCTTGTGAAGAAATGTCAGGTTTGTTAAGTGAAACGTTCCATTGTTTTACATTCTAATAATGTGTTAAAGTGTTGAGAAACTATATTATAAGTGTTAGCACAACTCTAACTGACTGACATTATTGGCTGCTTTAAATCATTGGTTACACAACCAGGATTCAGATAATCTTCCTTGGAGGCCCGGAGAGGGACCGTGTGCAGAGTTAAACCTATGTATAGTCCGCCTTGTCGCTAGACTCGGCTCAGCCAGTACTTAAACACAAACACAAATGCAAACAGTGATAGACTCACAAACTCAGAAGTGGGGATCCTCCCTGGAGTTCAGTGTTGGAGTCTGTGATTAAGGTGGGCGGATCCACAAAACCACAGTTTAAAATGAAAGAATCCCAAAATCATCAAAAAGCCTCTCAGGGTGTATGAATCACGTCTATTTCTTCCAGATGGAGACATACTGTAACTGTGATACAAGATATAATCAGGCCTTTTAAATTAAAGTTGTAGCCTGCTGTATCCACACTGTTGTGCCAAAGGAGGACATACTTACTATTCTGTTTGAGTACACTGTGGTATGTCAACCACCCACAACTTGCATGTTTGCCTCTGTGTTCTTCACTTGGCCAAGTCTCTTCCAAGAAAGAAAATGACAATGAATAAGCTTGATTTGAATTACTACTGAAACAATAAGTTTAAAGTGAAGCAAATATGTTCTTCCTTTTATAACCTACCCATGGATTTGATACTGGTTATGTAACTCTTATGCTAGTAAAGAGGTAATTAAAGTAATTACATTTTATGCCGCCTACATTTCATCTACGTGTGCAGTTAAATATTTTGTGTGTTTCCATGAATGTGAATTTAGCACTAAGGTGGGCCATTATGCTCTCCAAAATGACCGGAATTGATCACTATTGAAATAACTTTATAACTTAGATTTGATGGCTAGTCTGGCGATCTGTATTGTTGACTCTGAAGACAGGCAAAATGAAGAAATGTGCATGCCAGCTTTAAATAACTACTGCTCGTGGCTTTGTTTGCTGTCAGCTGCACCAGTTCTATCCTACCCTGCACTCCACATCGTTTTTTCTTCATTACAATCTTAATTAAAAACAATATTACTAGATTAAAGTACGTGTCAGCACTCATGATTCAATTAAGAACAAAATACTAATACGTGTTTAATTAGAGGCTGTTATCAACTTAGCATCAGTTGTTTTTCTTTTCCAGGAAAGGCCTGGTCTGTACAGTGAAGGCTAAGCATGCAGAGTAAACCGCAACACCCGTGTGTGCTCATCAGGGCGGCCGCTCTTGTAAATGGTGGTGGTATGGGGCAAAGCCGAGGTGAACAATGGAGGTGAGTGGGGTTACACCCTGGGACCACAGCCAGCTGCAGAGGGAGGTGGGTCAATGTGTCTGCAAATACCTCCTTCCCACTGCACATCTCGCTCCCTGTCCACACCCACCAGGGTGTTTGTCTGGCCTGGAGGTTTCCCACACCCTCCACCTCCTGCTCTCATCTCCTCTTTCTCTGTGTTTTTTCTCCTGTCTGTTTCTCTTCTTAAATAAACAGGATGCTAAATATTTATTTAGCATGCATTTTTTTCATATCTTTTTACATCAAGGTGTTATTTTAACTTCATCTTTTCACAACACTTAGGTCTGTGTTGGCGAGAAAGCTTTTGCAACTCTGCTAATGCAGAACTGTTGACTCACTGCAGGGTTATTCCACTTCTACACTAATGCTGCACTAACACATCATCCAGCAGCTCATTCAGTC